TAGGTGGCGTAATGTTTATGGTCCAGCGAAGACTTCCTGGTATTAGTCCGCGCGGATGGTAATGTGGCCTTTTCGCCTGACAGCCGGGATGGTACGTTCTATATGCGTTATGGGTGTGTTCGGGCCATCGAAGATAGCGATAAACTTATCGCATCGATTTTAATTAAATTCAAATTTTGGAAACATTAGGTTCTGAGCTTCTTCGAGTACTAAGCCATTACCCTGGGAAAATTCGATTTTTCCATGCAGCCAAGGTTAATTTTTTTTAAAAAATGTACTTTGATGTGCCTTATTTACCCCTAAATAAATTGGGCGCAGAAAATATCAATCAAGTGTATTGATAAGCGGCACGGCACCCCTTTCCACCAAAAGAGTGAAAAATTCCGACCCGCGTTTAGTACAGAAATGACAGCCCGTCGGGCTGAGGGTGTCAAATTGCTCGAAATACGGAGGGAAACTCCGGTCCATTTATAAATCATTTGTCCGTCCCTGTTTGGAGTATGTAGATGTGATCTGGCATGGCTGTACTGCTGAAGACTCCGCTCTTGTTCAAAGAATCCAATATGAATGTTCTCTTATCGTGTCAGGAGCAGTTAAAGGCTCTTCTTACTTATCTGTTTGTCAAGAACTGGGTTGGGAGTCTCTTTCTAGCAGACGGCATTTTCATCGCTTATTTTTATTTCATAAAATAGTCAATGGCCTAACACGGAGATATCTTTTTGACTTAATCCCCCCTAAAATTTCTCAAACCACTCTGTACAATTTAAGAAATAGTAACGACTTTCGACTTTCGTTACAATTTACTAATAGGTTTAGTATATCTTTTATACCCTATTGTTTAAGCCATTGGAATGAACTGGACCTGGAAGTTCGTTCTTTACGATACTCCTTGTTCCGAAAACACCTCATTAGATTAGTACGCCCCCTTTGTCCCCCACATTACAATTGTGGCCCCCGTTACACCTGCGCCCTTCTTGTTCGGCTCCGCATCGGCACCTGTGCTCTCAATCACAGTTTGTTTACCCGAGGACTCTCTACCAGTGCCTCTTGTAGATGCGGGTGTCGTTGCGAATCTGTCATGCACTTCATGCTACATTGTCCATTATACAATAATGAGAGATCGGAACTTTTTGGCAATCTTGCAGATTTACTTGGTCATTTTGTCAACCATAATAATATGTCAGATAATGCTAAACTGCACTTTATTCTTAGAGGCTCCTCATTATTACCCTCTATGTACAACTTTAAAAAGATGCAACTCACTCAGGTTTACATTGGAGATACCAAGCGCTTCTAGCTCTGCTTGACTGTTTCTAACCTTAAGAGCAACTGTCTGTAAGGATCAAACAATGGTGGCAGGGGTCAAAAATCGATTTGGCTCAAATTTTGCACAGTGATAGTACTTGGCCCACAACACCTCAAAATAGCTTTCTTTCGGCTCCACACCGATCGTTGCCATGGTAACAGCCCAAACATGTTTTGGGGCCATTTTCCCTGTTTTGGGCATGCCAGAAACATGAAAATTGCCAAAGTTTAGGAAGCGATTACAAATAAATGCTTGAATATATCGGAAAGACAAAAACTGTGCTGAAATGTCCAAATTATCTGCCTTTTTAAAATAGCTTTAAAATTTTCAAGAGGTTCATTCAAGGGTCTGGCATCCCTAAGACAATACAGTGTTTTTGGCTTTTGAAATATGCTGTGTAATTTTTCCTAAAAGTAGGCCATATTATGGACATCTGCGGAAATTATCATTTTTAGCTATTTTTGAAGCTCTATAACTGACAAAGTAGGGTGTGTTTTCCATTCAATATTTCAAGGAAAGTACAATATATTTATTGTCAAAGAAATGAATGCTTGTGGAGGTTATAGTCTTGTTTTGCCATTGTTCAAAATAATTCTGTAGAGGTACATGAAGGATTAAGATGATGGTAAGAAAGCATTATTTGCTCAGAAGTTGATAGGCTGTTTCATAAGATCATCGGGTTTTAGGCAGAATCAACAATGATTTTAGCTTCATCATATTTTGAGGATGTAGCGTTGTAAATATGGTACTTGAAACATTGCTATCCTATCCTTGTTACAATTTTATAGTGGTAACTGCTGGGAAGTTAATACTTACCATAATTAGAACCTGAGTGAAGGTGAATATCACGAGAAATTATCAAAATCAGGACCTTATTTAACCCTATCTAGACTGGGCTTTTTGCGGATTCTTGGAACGGGGGGAACACAGAACTCGAGAGCGGTACATCGTATGACCACCAAATTTCGGATTGTAGTAGAAATTTATCAAAAGTACAATTTTTTTGTCGTTATGACTTCATTAATTTGTTTTTTTTTGGCCGAACCCGTCTAGATAGTTTTTCCCCTGAAAACTAAATGGTATACAACATAACTTTACTCAAAGATGTTTATGACAAAATATTAGACTGTACTGACTTATGATGCCCATAGCAGCATATTTGTCGTCATAAAATGACATCTTGCATATTAAAGCTATTCGCCATCTTGGATCATCCATCTTGAATTTGGAAATATTTTTTTCGGGATAAAGCCTAAAATGCATTGTAAACAAACTAAAGACGTTCATATGAACCTTTTTGTTAAAAGAAATAGAAGTATTGATGAAATTTATAAATTAAGCATGAATTATATATTTTTAATGATAAAACTTACATTAGATTATATTAGATGTTATCAATATTAGAAACCATGCGCAGCTTGACACAAAACCCATAAAAATCTATTGTTGACACGAAATGTACTAAATTGGTTTTTACTTCTAATTCTAATAAAAGACTTTGCGGGAATACCATTTTTTAGAATTTTTTCCGAATCAAAATGTTTGTAATTAGCTAAATAATCTGTGAAATCGGGAAATCCACTCCAGCCGATTGGAGTCGAAAATTAAAAGAATAGGGGACATCCCGTAGCGATCCTCAGTCCGATCCTCAGCGACCAGAAGTAATGTAAACAAACACCCGATTAAACGACCGTGTGATTAACTGTTTTTCCCACAGTTTTTCTCAAAACTCTTGTGTGAAAAATCAAATCATATTCTAGTGCCATCGATTGTACTTAGTCAACGAGACAAAGAAGTGGGCTTTTGTCAGTCTAGATTCCTAACTTAGGAAGAACTCGGTTCCAGAATAGAAGCACATGTGGATACGTCGACCCAAATTCGGCTGACTGACGGAAAGACAGCGGCTACGAAGCGGGGACTTTCTGTTACAAAATACTTGTGCCATATAATTGACATACAAAAAATAGGTTCACAAAAAGGCAGGTAAACCCAGCAATCGTTTATTCAAAGAGCGAAAACGAATATCCATCAAAATGCCCGCCTTCTTCCCTCTCGTCAGCAATGCCGTCTATTGCATTCCAGAACATGTTTCGTTCCTAAGGCCAAGTAAATTTTATGGATGACGTCCTTTGGAGACCCTAAATCTAATGCGAGAGGGCGAAAAAAAATGGCCCTAAAAAAACAAGATGCCTAGATTAGAAATATACTAAGAGACGACAAATGTTAGGACACAAATTGAATGAGGTGACACAGTGTAACAAGCAAGAAGTCTTATTCATCATCAAAACAGCAATAAATCAGGTGGATCAGCAGTTATCGTCCTGTCCTGTTTCCTTCATCACATTTTTGCAGGCAAAGCATGTGCTCTTTACCCATTTCGCGTTACGGGGTTCACGTCAATCTAACGATTTGCGGCACTGTCGTGACTCTTTGGTCATAGTTACAGGAAGCGGATTTTTTTTTCTAGGAACAGGCCAAAATCAATGCGCGCGCGGACGTCATCCACAAAATTTACTTGGTGTGGTCTAATCATGATTTGGAAAGTTAAATGCACCTGCATTCCAAAACGTGGTCCATTAAAAAAAAAACGATTTATAATCAGACGAAGCGGAATGTATATTGCATTCCAAAACATGATCGCTGTTGCATCCCAAAACATGTTATTCCAATTCATGTTTTTGGATGGATTACGTTTTGGAATGCACACGTTGTTTTCCAAATCATGGCACAGCTGGACCACGATTTGGAATGTTTCAAAACGGCACCGGCCACGCTGTTTATCTCAAATGATTGACACGAATTGTAATTAATTATTCATACCGAAGACATGTTATGGAATATTCCAAAAAATGTCTTAGTCAAAGACACGAAATGGAATATTCCGAAACGAAATCCAGACATAGGGCTTCGACAACAACAGTTATGGAGTTGCTGCTGCTTTGTTTAAACATGACGAACTTTTAGAATATGACAGGGATGGTCGCCACAGTTGCGTGTGAGCTCTACAGTGTTTCGGCCGTGCAGTTGTGGTCCTGTGTACGGGCCGGGTGTCCAAGTTTAACTGACGGGAGTGCCGTGGCTAGCGCTGAGGAGGTCTAGACAATGACAAGCATTCATTATTGACCTTTCACTTACTCTGAGTTGCCACATTTGCTTTGAAACAAACTTCCAATCACTCTATTTTGCAGTACAGTATTGCTTATTATTTTATATCATTGCAGAAACATATATAGGACGCTACTAGTGCACTGGACACAAGTCATGTTGCATTTAGCACACCATCAATATGGTCAAATGTTCAAAACGGTGTTCATATTACAATTCAGGTTACAAAACATGAGAGGAAATGCCACACAATTTTTTTTTTGCAAAATATGCTACCATTTTCATTACAATATTACAAGTAATTGCAGTTTCATACAAGTCAAATTCACAATGACCTACAAGCGAAATGTTAAATATATATGTATGGTATATAAATGTGCATGTATATGTGGAACTTGTATACGCCTAACATATTTTACAAATATATAAAAATTGCAATGAGATAAAAGTTAACAATATTGTGCATGGATGAAAAATATATAAACAACCGATTTAATTGATAGAAAATAGGATCTTATTTGCATAAAATAGGGCATGCGTTAATAAACTTAAACATAATTACATGCAATATTTATCCATATTTTAACAGGCCACAAACATTTCAAAGTGGAGGAAGAGGAGTTTCAGAGATCACCAACATGTCAATGGTACTTAGATTTTATTCTGCATGTATTTAATATATGTGTGATTGTGCGCGTGTGTGTGCAATCGTGTGGCAAACGTATTGGTAGAGCGTTCGGCTTTGAAACAATGGGATCAGGGTTTGATTCCGGGTTCGATCCCAGGGGCATGACCGAACAGCTGCCCCTTGGGAAAGGCGCATATTACATGTTTCCCCCTCAATCTCGTGTCCCCACTTTTTTTTATTCTTTTTTTTTTTATTTCAGCGTACAAACAATGCACTGCATAATGGTGACGCACTCAATCAACAAGGCTTATATTCACTTTGCGACTAGACATTATAATTAAATAAAATACAACACAAGACAACACAATGTCACACGGGTAACGTCCAACAAGAAACAGAGTTAACCTATTAGGATAGTATATCTAAAACAGTACTATGAATCGGTTCTTAAATCTCTTGGCTGCAGAAAGGTATAGCTGTGTAATAATGAGTATTTGAGTGTTTACTTTAAATGAAACTAAAGGTTTTCCATCGATATAAATTAGAATCCACAGATACACATTAGCACTATCAGAGGAGTTGTTAATATTTAATGGAATGTTCAATAGCAAAGGTCTTTTAATGAGACGTACATGCTGTTAAGTGTAGATTGGGCAGTGAATTAAAAAAAAAACTAGAGTTCCACGATCTCATACCTTCACCAAATGATATTAATATTTATGACTGACAAATTATAGATTATTCCCCTGATTATGCAAATAGGATCCTCATTTCCATGTATTATACCAGTTGATCATATCTTCACAGATCCACAGTCTTACCTTAACAATAAATGTCATTCTAGCATTTCCTTATAAATTATGCAAATAAGGTTCTTATTTAAATATGTTTAATGATTTTCACCGTCACTTAACTTTCAAATACCCTAAGTATTAAATTCCAGGCAGTTACCATTGCTCAATTACAACATTTTCTCATTAGTTATGCATATTAAGTATTAATTTACATAATATCTGCCTTTGTTTCTCGTTCTCAGTCACATACACCACAAGCTAAAATAGTCATATCATGTAATGCAACTGATTTATAGAATATCCTCATAAATTATGCAAATTTATTAATTACCCCATAATTACCTCTAGCATTACTTAAGCTACCCACACAACAACAACCATGACGATCTGTCAACCGGTTCTTTTGTTATCTCCGTTTAAATATTATCAAAAACCGCCCCTGCAGTTTCAAAGCAAGCCGCTAAGGGGTCAAAATTTACGTCACTTCTTCCTCACTACAAGAGCTACCGATCATCCACATTTCTTGACCCTAGCTTGTCTACTTCATTAGATATCAAAACGGGAAGTTCCGTTGCAGTACTATAGGAAGCCGCTAGGGACTCAAAAATCTAATTGGTCTCACCAAGACCTAGCCACCTACCAAATATCAAGTCATTCCATTAAAGCCTTCTTAAGTTATCGTGTTGACAGACACACAGCCACACACAAACACGAACTCCTCTGAAGACATAACCTTCTTGGCGAAGGTAAAAAGAGGAACGATTTCGCAACGAACCCTCAGCTCCAAGAAGGACACGTCAAAATTGTACCTATGCAGGGTGCTATATAGATGGTACTGTATGTGCCGCGCAACATATGTTGCGCACAGGAGGACAAGGGTTAAGCTTATTTACAGTAAAACAGAATTTTTTGGCTCTTATTACACGAGTACTTTCAAAGAGAAAAAAATCAAAACATCACAAACACCGTTTCCTGGACAGTACATGTACGCTCATGTAGCGAAGCTACTGTCGTATTCGAAGGTGACCTTGAATATTGTAATGATTTTTCACGCTAGTATACTTCAGGCAAAATGACATGTCTGAAAAACTCGCTTAAACATGGAAGCATGGAGAGTCCAACATACCTCATTGACGGCTCAGAATGTCTGTAAAAGTTTTCCCGACAATCGTGTTTTAGGGTATTTTAAAAACTATGTACACCGGGGGGGGGGCTAAAAGTTTCCACGCCAACTTTGATGTCACCTAGCGTCTGAACGGCTAGAGCTAGAGCGGCCAAACTTGGTGACTTTTCCTAGAATATTTCTGGCAGCATTTCTGTATCATTTGAATTGGATACAAATTAGTAGTGATGCCATGGCAACGGGTTTCTGACAGGCATTTTTTGCTAAATTTAGTAATTTTTGTTTCAACAATAGGATTTTACGGGTTTTATGTCAAGTTACACATGGTTTCTAATATTAATAACATCCCATACAACTAAAACTTAAGATGGCAAAGAAAGATAAAAGTCAACCACTATTTGACTCCGCAAAGCTCAAGGACCCAGTAGTTAATAAGGAGTTTGCTATGGAGCTTAAGAATAGGTTCCATGTACTTGACGACCTACCAGCAGATGACATCAACACCGCGTGCGATAGGATTCACAAAGTATTCACAGACACCAGCAAGGTGGTTCTGGGACACCGCAAGCGTGAGTGGAAAGAGTGGGTTTCAGATGGCACTTGGAAACTTATACAGGACAGGAAGGTAGCCAAACAACATACGCTGAGGGGTAGCAGGAGACAAAGGAGTGCAGCTACCAAACTCTACCGAGCAAGGAATAAAGAAGTTAACTTATTAAAGGAGCGCGAGAAGGTATAAACGTGAGTACATGGACGGTCTTGCAAACGAGGCACAGCTAGCTGCTGAGATGGGGGACACAAGGACAGTGTATAAAATCACAAACAGCTGACAGGGGATCTCAGTAACAGAGCTACAGCAGTAAAAGACAAGAATGGGAATATGCTAAGGAATGGGAAAGACCAGCTGGATAGATGGGCAGAGCACTTTAGAGAAACTCTTAATAGGCTTGCTCCAGAGTCAGAAGCAACCATTTAGGACATGGGATTTTGCATAGAGATGAGACGTGGTCCCATCACCCTTCAGGAAATTGCAAGCGCCATCAAAGAAACAAAGGCAAATAAAGCACCAGGCGAGGATAGAGTAACAGCAGACATGTTGAAGGCAGATCCACTAGTAACGGCTAGGGCCTTAGTAAAACTCTTCAGTCTAGTATGGGAGGAGGAAAAGGTACCAGTGTCCTGGAAAAGAGGCATCATTGTAAAATTACCAAAGAAGGGTGACTTATCAGTTTGCGGTTATTGGAGAGGTATCAACCTTTTATCGGTCACAGGGAAGATCTTCTGCAGAGTTCTCCTCCAACGTGTAAAGCGCTCCATTGACAAAATTCTACGCGAAGAACAAGCAGGATTCAGAAGTGGTAGAAGCTGTACAGACCAGATTTTTGTTCTCCGCACAATCGTTGAACATTAGAATGGAATTATTCGTTTTATGTGAACTACATTGATTTTGAAAAGGCATTTGATAGTATACATCACCCTTCACTATGGAAAATACTTCAAGCATATGGATTTCCGCTGAAGTTCACAAACATCCTAAGTGACATGTATGCCAACAATCAGTGCTGTGTTCGACACGATGGTCAGCACAGTGAGTGGTTTCACGTGAAGACAGGTGTAAGACAGGGCTGTGTGATCTCCCCTGTTCTTTTCCTTGTTGTCATCGATTGGGTGATGAGGAGGGTCACCACAGGACATCCGAGATGACTGGTTTGGGGACTCTCAACTAAGCTGGAAGATTGCGATTTTGCTGATGACATCGCCTTACTTTCACAGATGGACATCCAGGAAATGTCAAACAGGTTGGACCAGGAGGCAAGCAGTGTGGGACATAAAATACACTCGGACAAGACTAAAATAATGAAGGTAAGAAGCAAAAGCACAGCATACGTGGGCAAGAATTAGAAGAAGTACAGCACTGCAAGTACCTCGGTAGCTACATTTCGGCAGATAGCAACATCGAGAAGGAAGTTTCTACCAGACTGGGCCTAGCAGCACAAGCTTTCACTAAACTTCGAAGCGTGTGGAAGTCATCTGCACTGAAGCAGAAGACCAAACTTAGGATATATAACTCAAACGTCCGTTCGGTCCTTATGTATGCAGCGGAAACCTGGAGAACCAATAAGAAGATTGAGAGCCGCCTCAGGGGCTTTGAAGGCAGATGCCTCAGAAGGATCTTAAATATACAGAAAGTCACAACAAGGAGGTCAGTAGACGCACAGGAATTCCGAACATAGTGACAGAGGTCCGACACCGACGTTGGAAATGGCTACAGCACATATTACGGATGGGAAAAAGCAGACATCCATATGTCGCCCTCAGATGGACTCCCCAAGGAAAGCGCAGCAGAGGCCGTCCCCTAGGGACATGGAGAAGGACTGTGGAAGCGGAGATGAAAGCAGCCAAAAAGACCTGGCATGAGATCGGCTGGCTAGCCCAGGACCGGAGTGGCTGGAGGAAGTTTGTCAGCGCCTTATGCTCCACAGGGAGCGAAGAGGATTAAGTAAGTAAGTAATATAACTTAATGAAAATTTTATCATAAAAATGCATAATTTATGTTATTTGATGACGTCATTGGTCAAAATCCCAGATGTCGGACCATATCATTAGAACAGGTATATACAGGTTATTGTTTATTCATAACAATGAACGGTCTGAACACATTATTGGACATGCTTGAGGGAGGAGGACCTAGGTGGTTGCCGCAGTCATTACTCCTCTGACGTTAGGAAGAAAGAAAGAAAAGGATATTTTTCTTAAAATTTCATCAATACTTCCATTTCTGTTTGCAAAAAAAGGTTTATATGAAGGTCTTTAGTATGTTTACAATGTATTTTAGGCTTTATCCTGAAAAAAAAAACTTTTTGAAAATTCAAGATTAATGATCCAATATGGCGGATAGCTTAAATATGCATGTCATTTTATGACGTCACCGGTGTTGCTATGGGCAACATAAAACTTAGTATACCCTATATTCTGTCATAAACACTTTTGGTAAAGTTTTGTTGTATCCCATTTAGTTTTCAGGGAATAACCTATCAAGATGGTTTTGGCCGATAAAATCACATTAATGACGTCATAACGGCGTCATATTACGTCATAATGACATAAATATTGAAGATATGACGAGTTCTGAGGGGGGGGGGATCGAATGAGCCCCCGGTCCCACGAAGCCATAGAAAGCCCGGTCTAGATAGGGTCAAAATCCGCTTGAATTTAAATTATGAGTAATTTAGTGCGAAAAAAGCAAAAAGAGCCATTTTTTTTACTTATTTGTAGACGAAAACTATACTTAAAGGCGGAAATGAAGAAAATCCCCAAAACACGATTTTTGAACTTATTTCTAGTCGTCGAAAAATATTTTTAAAAATGGGGATTTGGGGTAATATACGCAGCCAGATTTAAACGATGTTTGCCTAAAAGCATGACATAAGTTGTGCTCGGAAACCCGAAAATGATCGTCTTTCTCAGAGAAATTTTAAAAAGATAAGTGATTTAACATAAACATCTAACATTAAAAGGATGTAAAGACGATAATTTCATTTTCATTTCACGAAATTTACCCTTCAATACTATTTGTTTATTTTTAAATGTTTTACGGGAAGTCCAAAACTGGCCAAAATAGCGTCTTGTAACCCGATACTTATAGCATCTAAGCTTTCAAAGCAACTTTGCATTCATTATGCAGATTAGGTCGTTATTCGCATAACTTTTATCTGTTAATGTTCCATCAGTCGTATAGATTCCATATATACCTGTATTGAATAATTATTTTGTAAACACATTGATTACAGAATTTCCTTCCTATTTATAAAAAAATCAATTCACATATGCATAATTTACATTCAATTTCATCTCTCTCTATAGTCAATACGCTGTTCCTTTCTAAACACATCCGCTTTTAAGGGTTTTGCCGGAAACTTCAATGTAGTTCCGGAACAAGCCGCTATTGGAAAAACCAAAGCACTTAACAATTTTTACAGTGCTTAATTTGTTTTTTCACCATGTACTTACTTACTTACTTTTTTTTCATTTCAGCTGTACTGGCAACGACCTACCAGCCGCCTGTTCTTGGGGACGGCTCTGTTGGGTGGTGCATGCGTCCTTACCCTGCTGTCTCTTTACGGCTATCGATACGGGGATGCATGGCCCTTTCTAGACGAGCTGAGCGTCCCGCGAAAGGTTTCGAATAGTTGGTCACAAAGTAAAGTAGGGTCAGGCAACGAAATGGCAAATCCTAACACATTTGGACTTGGGGAGAAGACGCAACAGGTGGCGACATTAGCAGGATTTAACATGACAAAAGAACTAAGGAGGTTACATTCAGGGGTAAGTACTTTTTTTTTAATCTCAACATTTCATGACAGGCATAATAATGGCACACTCAAGTTTTCCAACTTATATCTTGGCGCCACTAATGCAGAGGACAAAAGCAGGACAAAAAAGACGTGTAAAGTGTATTTTCAAAGGGCACAAAATCGATGGCATGTCAGGACTCGATGCCGGGACCTCTTGGTTATGAGTTGAGCACTCTGCAGTAAGACCACACGACCCTATTATCCTTCTATTGTTCTTTTTATACGAGTATATGTTTTTTATGTTTATTTTTTACTCTAGCACGAAATAAAAAGCAGCAAAATGTTTTGACAGTCAACACTCATCGGATAAGCTCAGCCCTCGTTGGCAGCTATGTGTCTAGAGTTGGATATATCAAAGGCTATACAGGGCGTGGCATAAAGGCTACTACACAAACTTGCCAGTTAGGGAATCTCTGGCTAGGTGCATTCCACTATTAAGTCTTTCTTGTCTAGCAGATCTCTAAAGGTCGTTGTTAACGGTCAGGCACCAGAATCGCACAGCATCAATGCTGGAGTGCTTTTTTCATTCTTTCACATAAAAGAAAAACAGAGATTAAACCATCCAGAGGTATGATAATACAATAATAATAATACAATAATAGTAATAAAATAATAACGGAAAATGATACAGAACATAAAAATAATAAGTCAATTATTTCTGTCTGTGTAGAGATTTGATTATAATCTTAATGGTATCAACTTATTTCAAACATAGAAATAATAATAATCAAATGAATATTAACATGTAGAAGCTTTTGATTATAACCTGATAATATCAACTCATTTCGAACATAGACATACTAATCAAATGAATATTAACATATCTGTAGAGACATTTGTTTATAAGCAAAATGATATCAACGCATTTCAAACATAGACAAATGAATATTACTGTATCTGTAGAAACATTCCATTATAATCATTATGATATTAACTAATTTTAAACACAGAAATAATAATAATCAAATGAATATTAACGTATCTATAGAAGCATTTGATTAAAACCATAATAATATTAACTCATCTCAAACATAGAAGTAATAATAATGAATAATGCAAAAAATTCAAGATGGCGTCGAGGGTAGACATCCTTGCGGAGGTCTCCCATTAACTGAGTGTTTTTCGCGCATCCCCTGAGCTTTAATGATCCTTGTAACCCCACATGGTGAGAACAAGGTCTGCGAAAAGAAAAAGAAGGTCAGAAAGTGGGGAGAAACTTCAGGAGGCGGCTACAAAAACGAACTTTTGAGAGCGCGCTGCTGCCTATTAAGAACGAGCTCCAACAGGTGGCGAAGTCATCATTCTAAGACTTTTAAACAAAGTGGAAAGCTACGGGATTAGAGGAAATCTCCTGAAATGGATTGCATCTTTTCTTCAAAACCGGAAACAAAAAGTACGTCTAAACGAAAGCAGTTCACAGTGGGGCGAGGTGTATAGCGGAGTCCCACAGGGTAGTGCCCTTGGATCTGTTCTTTTTACTATCTACGTTAATGATATGCCGGATACAGTGAGTTGTCCTCTGAAATTGTTTGCAGACGACACGAAAATATTTAGCCCAGTTCCAGAAACAAGTAACTGTAGTCTTACAACAAGACCTGACCAGCCTCCAGAATTGGGCCACCAAGTGGCAGCTAAACTTTCACCCAGACAAGTGCACGGTCCTGAGAGTAGGAAGTGGACACCCAGACTACACCTACAGCATGTCTGAAAATGGGAATCCAGATCCTATACCTCTGAGATTTTCAGAAGAAGAGAAACATTTAGGAAACAAAGTAGACAAAAACTTGGGCTTTGCCAATCACATCATGTCTATTATAAAAAAGGCAAACCAGATAAATGGGTTAAGATGGAGAACCTTTGAGCATATGGATAAAGGAATTTTTTCTTACACTTGACAAAACAATCATACGCCCTCATCTGGAGTACGGAGCTCCTATATGGTCGCCACATACTTGGAAGTTTGCTATAGAACTTGAAAAAGTACAGAAGCGAGCGACCAAAAGAGTGCCGGGCTTATATGAACTTCCATACGAAGTCAGGCTCAGATCACTAAAGCTTCCTACTTTGGTGTCCAGAAGACTGAGGGGCGACATGATTAATGTCTACAAGTACACACATGGCCTGTATGACACTAAATGCGTGCTACCTGTTGCATCGGATAAAAGAACAAGAGAGCATCATCCGAAACTAAGTAGGATGCCGGCAAAAACAAACACAAGACTTTATTTTTTCACCATAAGAACGGTATCCTGGTGGAACAGTCTACCGGAAGAAGTGATTAAAGCTCCCATCGTAAATTGTTTTAAAACCAGACTTGACAAACATATGAGACTACATCCAGTAGTATACAACTACAGAACCCTGGATCATCCCCTGCGTCCCGAGATGACTGTCGGCTGAAGTGAAGAGCGGCCCAAACTGGAAAATTTTCCTACCTGGCCTGAAGAAATCTACATCTACATCTACATCTACAAGTCTAGTGAACTGAAGAGTTACGAGAGGAGCTCGACAGGATTCTTAGCCGTCAAGATGAGCTGGAGGACCGAATTCGCCGCGTTGAAAATTGACGACATGGAGAAGACCCCCTCCCACCAACACTTGCCGTGAGTAATGCAATTAACTCGTTGGAACAGTACACGCGAAGAAGCAGCTTGCGAATACGCGGGATTTCGGAGGTGGAAGGGGAAAGAAGTGAATTCTGCATTCAAAAGGTCGTCAACTTCTGTCGCATTAAGCTGGGTATCGAAATATCTCCGCAGAGCATTGATCGTGCACATCGCGTTGGCGCGCGAAACGGAAATACCTCACGGATCATGCTTGTGAAGGTGATCTCTTGGCAAGACCGCAACAAAGTATTCCGAGCCCGGACGAAGCTAAAAGGGAAGCGAGGTGACGATGGCAGACCGTTGCTAGTGATGGCTGATCTGACAAGGGAGAATATGAGGACATTTTCTGCTGCACTTTTAGCCAAAAAGAGGAATGTGATTAAAACTGTGTGGGTCGACGCCAACTGCAGGATTTTGATTACTATGTCTAACAAGTCTACGAAGAACACTGAATGCATCGATAAGCGAACGACAGGGCAATTTGACTGCTGAGGAAAAGCTGTTGTGATGTGATGTGTTAAATTACATTCGATTCCATTGTTAACATAAATGCCAGCTCTTGCATGCCTTTCATGATGGTGTGTCTTTCGTTTGTTTTCACTTGTCAAATTCTCAACTGTTATTACGCAAATGCTTATTGATCAGTTACTAAGGCAGGTGTCTGATACCTATGTTATTTGATGCATTTATGAATATCGAAAGATATGTATCTGTATACACTTTTCAATCCTGAGTAATAAAGATACTGTTATATACTTGGATCGAACTGTATTCTTGATGTAGTGGATTTTTGACAAAGCTAGCTTTGGGTGGCGCAACTCACCATTGACATGCGTCAAACTAGTAATGTTTTAGTTTTCGTTATTCTATTTTTGTTTGCTGTTTACTTCTGTTTAGTTTATTTTAAATAATTTTGGCTATTGAATATTGTTATTTCCTGTTTAGCTTATATTGATCTGGCACTTATTATTTACTGTGTTTACCTGACTATAGTATCAGGGTTTTTTAGTTCTGTTGATCTTTCTTCAGTTAATGTTTCAGTTAATATTGAGTTCCATCTCTTACCTTTCATTTATTTAAACCAAGAATCAGTGCCTTTAAATTTTGTCAATGATTCAGTTGAAATTGAGTTACATTTGTTATTATTCATTTATCCGAAACAAGAATCAGTGTTTTTGAGGTTTGTTAACACTTTTTCTGCTGACACTGAGTTGAATTTGTTATCTACTATCAATCTGAGCCTGAGCATAAGTCCTTTGATTTCATTATCATGCAATTTGAATTATGTTTATCTATATTCAGTTCATTTTGAACTATTATCATTTATAATTAATTCAGTTTGTATGAGTACTCGACCTTTGCTTTCTGTTTGCATCATATCAGTTATTTTGTTTGCTTTAGCATTGTGTTAATTAAGGATTAATGACCCGCCCCGAGGTGAATATGGTGTGATAAAGCCTTGTCAGTTGCTATAACCACCGAATGAAGCCACCGAGTGAGTGCAGCGAACGAGGTTGCTTTATGAGGTGGTTATAGCAACCGACGAGGCTTTATCACACCATATTCACCGAGAAAGGGCGGGGCATTAACGCTAATATCATATAACCTATCAAAACTTACACAGTAAAGAGTGGCACATTCTTGTATAACACATACAATCTTAAATTTTATAACAAACCGTTACAGTCACTCCTGTATCTTCCCGTCTACTAGCCACTGTTTTGTGCATCTTTCCCCCGATGATTCCAAGGACCCACATATTGAGTCTAACCAGTTCTTCTATGACAAATTCTGGCACAGCATTGTCTATTCTATGTCCTTTAGTGTAATCTTTTCTACCTGTTTTTGATCAGACAAAACAACTCATGTCTGAGTTTTTTAATAAATAATGTTAATACAGCTAACCCACAAATAGTATGGGATGCGGCAGAGTGATTGTTAGCGGTCACGTCCCTGAATCTTACTGAAGATTTTCTTTCTGAAGTTCTTGAATGATGCCTGGTGTAAATTTAAGCACATCGACCCCACGACGCCAGCAGGTGTTAGACAACAAATATCAATATTGTTATTGATAACCAACCTATTTTCTTTACTGCAATGTTGAATAGAAAAAAAATATTTTTATTAATGACTTATTATCTGATGACGGCCACCTGATGTCTTATGGTAAATATTGTCTAATGTACACAAACATTTGTGACCCGCTTAAGTATCAGCAAATGACTGCTGCCATTCCATGGAAAAATTTACTTGGTAAAAAACATACAAAGAATTTAGTATGTATGATGCTTTACCCTATTCAGACCGGACTTTTTGGGGGAATGGTGGGACCAGAGGGGGCTTTTGAGGCCCCTTCCCATGTAAA